GTGCCAGGATCAGGAAAAAGACGGCTCTGGAAAGGCAGCTGAGGAAGCAGACACCCCCAAGGACACAATGATGCACTAGGCTTTGCTTGCAATACCAGGGCACAATGCAGAAAAACAGCACCCAAAGTCAGCATCACCCCATAAACCACTGAGCACTGGATCGCAGGCAGCGATACTGCGGTCTCAGCCCACAAGCCACTAGATCCTGTTCAAGTGGAACAGGAAATACGGGACATGTCTCGGCTTGGTCCAGTGCCCCAGTTCCAGTTGACAGTGTTATGCCACAGGGGTACTTGGGGCATGTTTGCCATCAGGTCGATTGTTAACTGAGGGAGGATATGCAAGATTTCAAGACGGCAATCCAAGAGCTTTCCTCTGGCACAAGTCTCCATCTGCGCAGCAGTCATGAGTATCTGGATTACTTGTTTGCTTTCCATGTGTAAAACACCCCCATGTGTACAGATTCAGGGGAGCGAAGGCCCAGAGCTGGCCATACTCATCAGAGCAGATTTGCCTTTTTATTGGAACCAATACTGGTGGATACTTGTTTGCACTATTCAGCCAGCTCCTCCCGATGCCCGTCCAGGTGAGCAGGGAACTCCGCCTCCGCCAGCCATGCCAGCCTGTTGGGCTGCAGAGACAGCACAGTGATTGGGTATTAACCCCTTCCATGCTGCATGAAACAGGGCTCTCCAGCACAGATGGCTATGCTGGGTGCTCTGTGGGTGCGAGTGAGCATCCCAGGGATACAAAGGTGGGGATGTGAAGGCCCTGAGCAATAGCCAGGCATCGGAAGGTTTCACACAGAGATAAGGGCAAAAAGCAGAACCATCTATCCAATCCCCTCCCCTTGCTGCTCTCCTAGATAGAATCATAGAAGATTAGAGTTGGAAGAGACCTCAGGAGGTCATCCAGTCCAACCCCCTGCTCAAAGCAGGGCCAACCCCAACTAAATCATCCCAGCCAGGGCCTTGTCAAGCCGGGCCTTAAAAACTTCTAAGGATGGAGATTCCACCACCTCCCTAGGGAACCCATTCCAGTGCTTCACCACCTTCCACATCTGAACTCCAGGGCCTGATTCTGCTCTCTCCACATAGCCTAGTGTAAGTAACCCCATTAGAGTCCAGGGAAACCTCACAGTGTAAGTGAGTGAACAGGCAGGCTCTTGGAGTTCAGACAGCATTCACCACAGCATCTGAGCACCGGCCCGCGGCACATTAAGTAACATGACTAACATGCATCCCGTGTGGTTGGTTCTCTCTCCATCAGCTCTGTGTTCACAGTAAGCCTCCCCATCAAATAAAACACAGTGCATTCTAACAGGGACAACTTGTCGCAAGCAACATGAGTTACTAAATCTTTATTGCAACAGCACACAAACGTTCGGACTAGAGACATCAGTGATAATGTGCTCACCCCACGGCAATGGCATTGGGACGGTCCCTCGAACAAGCCAGGTAAGCATTAAGTGTCTGCATAGCAACCCTTTAATGGTGCATCTGCACCGTACCCCTTGCAGACCGCACGTCTCCGCAAGCAAAGACGGGAACATGATTTCACATACCAGTCTCAGTTTGGGTCCCCTGAAGAGTTAGAGGGTGCCAGTCCCTCCCTTGGGTATACATGGACGGATCAAGACCATTTTGGCCCCCATCATGGCAATAGTTAGATCTCTAGTGCCATGCAAATAAAACAAAACCCACCTAAAGCCTTTTCTCTACACTTCCCGAGGCAACACAAGAGGCTCTGGGAGGTTCAGCTCAGTGGGATGGTCTCAGCTGAATGAGAACACCCCATGAGGAGGATACAGCCTGAAACAGCAGCTCTGAGACCTACGAACTGCTCCACTCAGCTCAGTCGGTGTGCCCATCCCTGCTCCTGAGTGCTTTAGAGCCTGTGATATGTCTGAAGCATGCCTGTTCTCAGCTCCCCACCCAAAGGGGCAGGACTTCCCAGAACCTGGCTCACATGGGGGCTAGGGAGCCGGCCTCAGACCCTCCCAAAAAGAACAAGTGCCCCCAGAACCCGACTCACATGAGTGGGAGGTAGGAAGGGGGACCCAGGCCCCTCGTATCCTAGAACACACATGAGGACAGCAAGAGGGGCTCAGACAGCCCCAGAAGGGTAAGGGGGCCCATATCCCAGCCCCTAGGAGTGGGACAGGGAAGTGAGCTCAAAATATCCCTGAGGGGCAAGAGCCCCCCAGATCTGGGCACACACATGGGAGGGGAGAACATGGGGCTGAGAGATGCCCCTGCCCCTACTCTCCCCCAGTTACTCTGCCACTCACCCCTTCCCTGTGTCCCACCTCTCCACTCCCTCACCTGAACCCCCAAAAATCCCTCTCCCCTCCCCTGTACTAGTCATTGCCATTTATCCCCCTTCCCATAACCCTGTCCCCTCACTGCAGGCCCAAGCCCTCCGCCTCCTATTCCCCTCTCCTCTGCCCCCTGATACCTCTCCTCTCCCAGGAAGCAGCCATGTGTCTAATTTCCACCCAAATACTTGGATTACTTTCCCCCCATGCATGGCTCACATATCGTAGCACTCTCCAGCTACTCACTCCCAAACTCCTTTTGTCTCAGATTAGGGCTTGTGATTAATTTATCCTTAGTTATGTTAATTGAAGTGTGGATTCACAGCAGCTGTCAATCTCAATGAGGTCTGACTCATCCAATCATTACTATATATCAAACTATTGATATGATGCCATTCAAAATGGTCTCAAGCTGTTGAGTTTTACCAAAGGGCTGTGTGTGCATAACTGATTGGAAAACTGCTCCCAGAGAGTAGTTATCAGTGGTTCACAGTCAAGCTGGAAGGGCATAACGAGTGGAATCCCGCAGGGATCTGTTCTGGGTCCAGTTCTGTTCAATATCTTCATCAGTGATTTAGATAATGGCATACAGAGTACACTTTGAAGATGATACCAAGCTGGGAGGGGTTGCAAGTGCTTTGGAGAAGGACAGGATTAAAATTCAAAATGATCTGGACAAAACTGGAGAAATGGTCTGAAGTAAATAGGATGAAATTCAATAAGGACAAATGCCAAGTACTCCACTTAGGAAGGAACAATCAGTTGCACACACACAAAATGGGACATGACTGCCTAGGAAGGAGTGCTGCGGAAAGCGATCTGGGGGTCAGAGTGGATCACAAGTCAAACATGAGTCAACAGTGTAACGCTCATGCAAAAAAGCGAACATCATTCCGGGATGTATTAGCAGGACTGTTGTAAGCAAGACACAAGAAGTAATTCATCCGCTCTACTCCACATTGATTAGGCCTCAACTGGAGTATTGTGTCCAGTTCTGGGTGCCACATTTCAGGAAAGATGTGGACAAACTGGAGACAGTCCAGAGAAGAGCAACAAAAATGATTAAAAGTCTAGAAGACATGACCTGTGAGGGAAGATTGAAAAAATTGGGTTTGTTTAGTCTGGAGAAGAGAAGACAGAGAGGGGACATGGTAACAGCTTTCAAATATATAAAAGGCTGGTACAAGGAGGAGGTAGGTAAATTGTTCTTGTTAACCTCTCAGGATAGGACAAAAATCAATATGCTTAAATTGCAGCAAACTTCCTAACTGTCCTCGGGAGGTTGTGGAATCTCCATCATTGGAGATTTTTAAGAGCAGGTTGGACAAACACCTGTCAGGGATGGTCTTGATAATACTTAGTCCTGCCATGAGTGCAGGTGACTGGACTAGACCTCTTGAGGTCCCTTCCAGTCCTATGATTCTATGAAAACTGAGCCCTGGATGGCAAAGCCTGTCACTCAAACTAAAACCTGCTGCCCTCAAACTAACACTCAGCGCTTTGTGCCTAGTGAAAGACGGAAGGTAATGCCTCTCCTCACCTCTTCTGAGAGCTACTCCTGCTGGAAGAGCACAGAGGACAAACCGACATGGGGAGGGGACACTCAGGAAAGTGGAGGCAAATCAACTACTGATGTGAAGGCAACGCACATGAATTAAGGCCCCTTAAACCCTGGGTGGATGTTCTCAGTTCACTGTAACTTACTCTCCAGTGAGTGAAGGCCACTTCACTCCTGAAAGCATCTGCACTGGGGGGCAATGGCGAGCCATGAGGTGTTTCGCCAGGCATGCAATGCTACACTTGCATGCAAAATGGCCTCCTCCACGAGGCGAGACCTTGCACTTACGCTGCATGCTGTGTGGAGGAGGCCGTGTTGTCTTAGAAAATGGCATCCTCCGGGCACACGCCTGGGGGCTGGAGGGAATCATCCTGCAGACAGAGCCGGTCCTGGGCCATGTGTTGCATACGCAGACAACACACCACTGCTGTGGGGGGAGGAAGTTAACAAATGTGCCTTGACCATGCACCTTGGGTTGGTTTCCCCTAACTTTCCTGAGCATCCCGCTGTAGCCGGGCCCCGAGACCAAGTGGAAAGTGGCTCATACAGCTGACCACCCCCCTCAGAGGAGCAGCATGCCATGACCACACCGTCCTCTCCAGGAGTCCCCGCCTGGCACCTGTAGGATGGAGAACACTGGCACGCTGCTCCTGGGTGCTGCTTTGGCAGTTTGCTCTGTGAGGTTTGCCCTGGGTGGCCTCCCCCTGGCTGCAAGAGCACAGAGAGAGAGAAACCTGTGGGAGAACAAACTGGGAATACCTGGAGCAGGGCTTCCCACAGCGACCAAGGCCACAATGCTGGGGCTATTACCAAGTGGCCAAAACAGAGGCAGAATTGAGGTCCCACTTCAGACATTGTTCACGGTGACTCCCTTTGCTAGTGGGCTCATTGTACCGGCTCGGACAGGGGGCACAGCTAGCCTCGCTGTAAGGGGTTGAGTGACTGTGACCAGCTGCCTGCAGGGCTCCTTGCCTTCCCCTCGCACCAGACGGACCCGTTCCTCACCTGCGCGCATCCAGAGCTTGGATAACGCTGGTCTGAGCAGCCGCGGGCGTTCAGTGCGCCGCTGCTCTCCGCCCCGGGCAGGGAGGAGTTAACAGCCCCTGACCAGGAGCGAGCAGCGCACCAAGGGCCGGTTAGCCTATAAATGCGCGAAGGAGCCGGCGCGGTGCGGAGACTGCGCCTCGGGAGCTGCTTCGGGGGGACACGGGGCTCTCCTGGCCCAGAGCTGCAGGTCAGGGGGGCTGGGAGGGGCCAAGGGCAAGGAGGAGACCGTGACCAAGCAGGCGACAGGGGGACTGGAAGGCGCAGGGCAGCGGCAGGGCTCAGCCCGCCGGGACCCCGGGGGACGCGCGGCGCACGGGCAGCCTGGCGCACGGCTCCGCCGGGGTGTCCGGTTCTGCCGCAGGCTGCAAAGTTTCTCCCCGCCAAGGGGAACTTTTCCCGAGGAGAGCACGGGAGAGCGCGGAGCGCCGGCTGCCGAGGGAGCCCAGGGACGGGGCTGAATGGAGCCGACGGGATGAACGAGGTGGGAAGAGCATCAACGGGGCTGGAGAGGTCCCCGGAGCCCGGCGCTTGGCACCCAGAGCGCGGCACCGGGAAGGGAGCGCCCCCGGCAAGGGGCTGGCTGCGCTGAGCCGGGAGCTCGCCTGCTCTCCCCCCCCCCCCCCCCCGGCTCCTAGCGCTGCCCGCGGGAAGGGGACTTCCCCAACCAGCGCCCCAGGGGCCACTTGACCCGTGTGGGGAGCGGCCCCCGTCCGTCCCCCAGGCACGGGGCTTTGGAAAGGGCGCCCCGCGGAGCAGCCACAGCGCCGGTAGGAGAGACGCGGGTGCCCGAAGCGGTGATCGGCTGGGGAATCCCACCTCCCCGCAGGGCCCGCGGACAGGGACAAAGGCGAGACCCTGCCACGCCAGAGGGGGGGAGCGAGCCAAACTTCCAAAGAACCTCTCCGGGAGGGGCCCATGCGCCTCTCCTGGTGCTTTGAGAGGAGCACTGACCCTTGCCTTCCTTGAGCCCTGACCTCTTGGCTCAGGGCCACTGGAACCTGCTAGTCCCGACTGGCCGAGGACTCTGCTGTGCCCTGGGAGGCAGGTTAGATGACCGAGGATGGAGGAGGAAGGTTCTCTGCTGAAGAACCTGTCTGCTGGCTTGGGAAGGGAGGATGGTCTCTACCCCACCTGGGTGGTGATCACGCTGGCTGTCATCCTCATCGTCACCATCGCTGTGGACATCCTGGGCAACCTCCTGGTGATCATCTCTGTCTTCAAGAACAAGAACCTGAGAAAAGCAGGTAATGGCCTTGCTGGGACAGGGGGGCTTCGCTCTCCAGGCTCCCCAGGAGCAGCTCTGCCTCTCTCCGCGGGGCTCAGGAGCAGTAAGCCAGCCTCCTGCCCTGCTAGTGCAGTGACACACCAGTGCTAGCAGAATCCACCTTTGTGTCTGTGGGTCCGTCCTTGTGTGTGTCTGTCTGTCCATCCATCTGTGTGTGTAAACTTCTCCCACCCAGCACAGTCGGGATTCAAGGCAAATTTCTAGTCGTTGCAGAGAGCCTGGTGTTGGCAAGGCTAGTAAAACAGGCTATCAAAGCATGGGGAGGGGGGGAAATTCCGTTGTCCATACTGACCCTGGCTTCCATGCCCGAGATACATTGCACTCATTTATTTACAATCTCAGCCAAGGGACTAGTGATTTTGGCTGCTCAACTTGGGACACCCTAAAAAAGGGCCCAATTTTTCAGAGGGTGGGTACTCAGTGCTTTCTGAAAGCCCTTTTTAAGGAGTCTCAGCTGGGGCACCCCAAAAACTGAAACATCCCAAATCACTCATCACTTCTGAAAATCTTGACCCAGATTCCACCAGCTGGCTTCAATGCTCATCAGCACCCTCTCTGGGGGAACTCTGGTCAAGCTCCTTGTGGGATTTAGATTCTTAGCTCAATTAAGAGGTTTGGAGGACCTAAAGCTTCCCCCCTCCTAGCCTCGCAGATGATTTTGTAAGTGCATGGGTAGAATAGGACACAAAATGAATGGTAAGAATTGTTCCAGCCTTCACACAGGGGAAAACAGCTATTTTCCATTTGCACCGCCTGATTCTGGGAACAGCTACACTTTAGCTGGCATTTAATAAATCAGGGTGTTTTGGTTTTTATCCCTCTTTATGCACTAAGAAAGTTACCAGTAACTCTCCAGGTTAGGTTGTTTCTGCTGCAATGAAGTGGAGAATTTTGCTGACCTCACGCTCTGCTTACAAGCCCCACATAGGTAGAAAGTTTTCTGTCTTCTCTTGCCTAGAATAAACCCAGGTTACAAGCCAAGGTCTTGGTCAGTAATAATTAGCCTGCATCTCTGGAAAAGCCCATCCGTCACTTCATGTAACAACACTTTGCATTTCTGCAGCATTGGATCCTGAAGCATTTTACACTAAATCTGACTCTCAGCACCACTAGGAAATTATTGTAAGGGGGGAAACTGAGGAGAAAGCTGGAGGCTTATATTGTCAAGGGTGTCCACCAGCTTTGGGTGTCTACGTGGAGACAAATGGGGCCTGATTTTCAGTGATGCTGAGCGTCCAAGAATCCCAAGTGGCATCAGTGGGAGCCAGGCAAATTCCATGCCTCTTCAAAGCAGGCTGTCTTTCTCCCCAGAATTGAATGACCTGAAGTCAGCGTACCTCTGAAAGCTCAGGTCTAAAAGACAAAGCCAGGAATGGAACCCAGGCATCCTGATGCCTAGCCCTGTTCTGTAACTGCTAGACACTCCTACATTTCTAGTTGTAACCTCCTTATCTTTGAATGGGTTCTCTCCCTCGCCATGCAGTGACAATGGAACCCTTAGGACATCAGTCTTTGCAATGGGAGGGGTAGCAATGCTATGCTCCAATACAACTGGACTTCATTGGCATGACTAGGTATACAAGCGTGGAGGGCTCTCAGGCCTGCCAGAGGTAGGTCCATAATGGCCAGGGTTGGGTTCCAGGCTGCGTTTGGGGTTTGATCCCCTGCGTCCCAGCATTCGGACTTCACTGCAGGGAAAAGCCGAAAGGCAGGAGGAGCTGGGAGAGCAGAGAAATAACTTTGATAGGTGTGTGTCCCTGTCCCGTACTGGGGCGCACCTAACCGCTGCTTCATTTATGCTACCTAGACTGTCGCTGACGAACCAAACTGGAAGTCAGTGGCTGGGGGTAGCCCGGGTGTGACTGGTGCAATCTAACACCAGGATCAATCTGATCCTACAGAGCCGAGAAATGTCAACGCACGTTGAAAAGCACAAAGCCAGAACCAAATCTGTCATCCCAGTAGGACTGACTTTAACAGGCTCCCCCGTGTCAAAATCCAGAGCCCATCTCAAGCACCTGCGTATAACTAACCCCCCATGCATGGAATGGCCGGTTCCACGTCCCTGCTGGAGCGGAGCCATGGCTAGGACAACTTTTAGTGCAGCCAGCTTGAATGGACCCATTGCATTAAACTGAGTGGTTACCATCTGCTTTGGCTTCGGCTGCAAGTGCCACCCAGAAGAACACGTCTCAGCTGTATTGTCTCCAGGGACAGCAGTGATTTAAACCCCTTGCCTGCTCTTTTCTTTTACTGCAAGCAGTATAGGGGTCAGGATGGGTACAGAATAAAGTAGGGAGGGGGAAGTGTGGGAGGGGATGGAGGGGGAAGAGGGGAGAATGACCTGTGACAGGGCCCCTCCCGGTAGGAATTTGGTTTATTGCAGGCAGGAATTCATTCCCCGTAGGGAGGGTGTTCACACAAAAGTCAGTGTTGTAAGCTCTCTGCCTCTTCCATCACACAGTTCCATCTGAGTGGGGTCCTGCACTTTCCATGCAGCTGGGCTATGCCTTTCACCTACCACCGAATTCTCTACCCCACCCAGTGTGCCATTTCCCTAGAGCTGCTCCAAAGAGAGGAAAAAACCCACCTCTCTCCTGTCACGGTGAGGAAGAAGAAAGACCCTTGCGTGAAAAGCCACTGCCGATGGCTCGGGAGTCCTCTTGCGGAAGAGGAGGTACAGATAGCTGTGGGCAGCATTATTCCCTTTGGGGCTTTAATTCCCAAATCAGCCCAGCAGAGAGCAAGCACACTATTGTGGACCAATGAACTGCAAAGCACCCATTTGGCTTTCCTTGTCCAAGTGATAGAAGTGCAGCTCAGGAGATTCTGCAACCCAGTGATTAGGGCCTGACACCACAGAGGAGCCGGGTTCGATGCCTGGCTCTGCCACTGACATTCTGTGAGATTTTGGGCAAGTCACTCACAGCCCAATTTTCACAAGTGGGTTTCACTTTAGAAAAAAAATCTAGCCATTAGCTCATCTGTACTAATAGCACTGCCCTGTCTCCCAAGGGCATATGAAGATAATATATTAGATGGATGGTCAATGTTATTTCAATTGTGGCTAAAGGCTAAATTGCTCCTAAAGGCAATCACAGCCCCGTATAAAATGAATAAAAAGACAGTGTCTGCCCCAGGGAGCTAAAAATCTAGGATTGTGACAAGATGCAACCAGGGGATGAACAGACAAACAGGGGTGTGGGTATGAGGTAGCGATGAAAGGAAAAGCAGTCATGGTAGTTAAAGTGATAGTAAGTTAAGCTACTCCGTAGATGATGCACGAGCCAGAACAGAATCCAGCTCCCAGAGCCATCGCTACCGTGCAAAGAGAAGTAGAAAGACAGTACGGCAAGCAGGTGTAATTTGGAGTAGGCGCAGGAAGCTGATTTGTTTAGCAAGGAGAAGGCGTTTTCCTGGCTGTTGCTGCTGCATTCCGACCATAGGGTCTAACTGGTTTTTTTGTTTTTTTTTTTTTGGTGTTACCTTTCCCAGGCAATGCCTTCGTGGTGAGCTTGGCCATTGCAGACTTACTTGTGGCTTTTTACCCTTATCCCCTGGTCCTGATGGCTATTGTTCATGGCGGCTGGGTGATGGGGTACCTCCACTGCCAGGCCAGCGGCTTTCTGATGGGCATCAGCGTTATCGGCTCCGTCTTCAACATCACGGGCATCGCCATTAACCGCTACTATTACATCTGCCACAGCCTGAAGTACGACACGCTCTTCTCGGGCACCAACACCGTGTGCTACGTGGGGCTGGTTTGGGCACTCACCTTGCTGGCCATCGTGCCAAACTTCTTTGTGGAGTCCCTGCAGTACGACCCGCGAGTGTACTCCTGCACTTTCGCCCAGTCCGTCAGCGCCCTTTACACCATCTCCGTGGTGGTCATCCATTTCTTTCTACCCATCACCATCGTCAGCTACTGCTACCTGCGGATCTGGCTGCTGGTCCTCCAGGTGCGGCGCAGGGTGAAGCCGGAGACACAGCCCAAAATCAAGCCCCATGATTTCTGGAACTTCCTGACCATGTTTGTGGTCTTCGTGCTCTTTGCTGTGTGCTGGGCACCGTTAAACTTCATCGGCTTCGTGGTGGCGGTCAAGCCCACACTGGGTTCCTTGATACCCGAGTGGCTCTTCACGGCCAGCTACTTCATGGCCTACTTCAACAGCTGTCTGAACGCTGTGGTTTACGGGGTGATGAACCAGAACTTTAGGAAAGAGTACAAGAGAATCATACTGACTGCATTGCAACTGGCTTACAGGACTGATGGAGACTAGCACCCATGGGCTGAGCCAGAAGGGAGGAGGTTTTACCATATTCACACTTATCCCCTGCTCCACTTTTAAGTGAAGTGCAAAGAGTGCAGCCAAAACAGCGAGAGGTCAGCAGAGGACACAGCTCCATATATAAGCTGTCTGCAACAAGAACAATGCAGCCCACCCTGTTCTGCAACATAGGATCCTCTTTGGAATGCAATGAGCTTTGAAAACAGACCCTCCTTGCTTACTTGCCCTGGCATAGTCTCCCCAGCCTCAGTCAGATATGTATCCTGGAAACAGCTAGAGCCAAGTGATTCCTAGTAAATTTATTCAGTGAACTATCCACAAACATTTCACCATTTTCTCTAACTTCTCCATTATTCACCAACTAATTCTGTGTATCTCAAGAATGTTTGTGAACAGCTAGCTGAGTGTTGGACACCAAAATTCAACTGGTTTCATTTGGACCCATGGAATAGTTACTGTTCCACGATTGGATGAGCATAAGTCCCAGCACTGAAGTTTTCTGTGTGAACACTCACCTCTATGTCTTGGGAATCTGTCTTCCCGAAGTATTCTCCAGTATTTACGGACTATTTGCTGTTCCTGCTAATACGCCTGCCAGCAAACTTGCACTGGCCACAAGGTTACCCCAGAGTGAAAGCAGAAAGGGGTGTAAACTCAGCCAAAGGGAATTCAATATTTTTATTGAATGGTGGGATTTTCCAGAAGCTCCCAAAGGAGACAGGTGCCTCTGAAAGCCCCACCTTACGTGAATATACACAAAAATGGTAGCATTTGGTAAGTCATGCGATTCCCTTGAATGAGCTGAGGTGGTGAACCCTTTCCCTTCTCTTTGGAGCCAAGGGTGAACCGTTCAGGAAGGAAAACCCATCACCAGAAAACTGAATCCACTTCAGAAGAAGACAATCATCAGTGTGACTTGATGCTCCTCTGATGAAAAACCATCACAATGGGAAGGGGAAACCACCACAATGAGGCTGAATCTAAGTCAGAAGATAATCCACAATGACAAGTCCTCTGCAAATGCCAGCGGCTCAAAGAGAGCATATTACCTTTAAATGAGACCAGACCTGGAGGCTCTTGACAAGATATTTAGAGCACAAGTGTGAATACTGTTTCCCATGCTGAGAGGAGCTTATAGGAAAGAAGCCAATTTTTCTCTCGTTTGGTGTTTAATTCAAGAGATATTTTGGACTAGAGGAAAGGGAGTTGGGCCCAGATCCTTAAGGTATTTAGGATTCTAACTTCCATTGATTTCAGTGGAGGATCTGGGCCTTTGTCCCCAGTGGCCCCAAATGGCAACGGTTCACTGGGCTTGAATTTAACAGATTGTGGGACTGAGGAGAAGGGAATAAGGAAGACAGAGTCAAGATGGTTAGGTTTTCAACAAGTCTGACCAGCAGTAAGGAAATTATCCACTTGTCTTACTTGCATATGTAACAAGTTCCAGTGTGCAATGGGGTGTGGCACCACAGAACAAATTTTGCATGCAATTTTCCTTTGATCCCTGGAGATCTTCTGCTCTGGTTACCCCGGCATGTAAAGCATAAATCTGCTTTTGTGCACAGCCATCAAGGAAGACATGAAAATATGTTTTAAATCAGCGATACTCAGACTGAGGCTCATGAGCCACAAGTGGCTCTTTAATGGGTTTCCTGAGGTTCTTTGCAGCACATGCTATTAAAGTATTGTGTGATTTAATTATTAACCAATCAGGAGGCTTTTACTATGTTATTAACCAATTGTAGTTTATAAAATACTACTACTTGGTCAGTCATTTTGCTGTGAGAATAATATATATGTTATTATATATATAAACGAAATATTTCCCACTGCACTGTTTAAATATGACTGTATAGTAAATGAAATAATGATTTCACACGACCACGGCTCTTTTGGGTAATGTTGATCACCAATTTGACTCCTGAACCACTGAGGTCTGAGTATCACTGTTTTAAATGCAAGTTTACAAGTGTGAGTATGTCTGTAATGTATTATGGGTGGGATTTTCAAATGAGCCTAAATTACTTATAAGTGTAAGTCCCATTCACTTTCAATGCAACTTTCAATGCAACAAACACACCTGTGTGTGTGTGTACACACCCCTACCTTGATTAAAAACATCTTGTCTTCCTTGATAGGCATGAAAGAGAAAAAAAAAATCAGTGTTTTTCCCCAGATGCAGTCATTGGTTTAATGAGTTTATTTTCACCTGGGTTCCAAAAAGAACACAAATATCCAAGTGAAAAAGCTTTACTGTAGATTCAATCAGATCTGATTCACCTGCACTTCATCTGTTGCTCGGAAAGAGCAAAGGGATAACTAGTCTTACAACAGGTATGAAATCTCCCATTTGCTCTCCCTGCCCCCAAATAAAAATGATGTTTCCTGAATTGTGGTTACAGAATCTTTGTTGCAACAGCACTAGAAAGGCAACAAGAAAGATTTAAGAGATTTAAGTCGTACAGACCCCAGAATTGCTCTACGCCACCATAACATTATGATGAACTGCTGGGGAATGTCTTTGAACTATAGCCTCACGGCCGTGCACCTTACTACAGAACTCAGAGGCCATGCACACGCAGGGAAACAAACAAAAGGCAGCAGTGTCATCATCTGCTCTAGGTCTGGCCAAGAGTTTTCCATCCCAGCTGTTTTGACAGAGCATTGGGGTGTTGACAGAACATTCATGCTTTCAGAGAAGTCTCTGCTTTCCATAGAAAATTTTGACATATCATCAAAAATGCAAAAAGATCTTGGTTGAAAACCAAAACTCTACGGGTTTTGAGTTTTTGACCAAAGGAAAAAAAACTCACCAAATTTCCCACAACCCCCCTCTCTGAAAAATACCCTTTTCTCTGACTAGTTCTAATCAGCTCCATTAGAAACACCTGAGTGCAATAGAAATGTTACCCTGTGCGACGGATTCCCACGTGGACACAGCCATTCATTTCTTGGTGGGGACACCGGTTTGACCGAGCTCCTGGAGATTATTGTGCCTTCCATTTAGCACAGAAACCTCTAATTTGTGCTAAAAATAACAATGTTTGTGCACTTTATTTCAGCTGGCTTTGCGTGCTTTGTGCCATGGTTCCTCAGACCCTGATGGGAAGGCTCAAACAAGCCAAAAGGAGAATGAACAATGCTAATCTTTTATTCATGGTGACCCTTTCAGCCAGGAGGAACCCAAAGCACTTTAAAAACTGATGCATGAACGATGCATAGGGATCGCTCCACCTGTCACTGTAACGCAGCCACCTGTAACAGTGTGCAGCATCGCTACCCAGAGATGTGGGGCACGAGATACAAGAGACTACTGTGGCCAAGGAATCTGCAGCCAAAATATAATTCCAGAGATTGAGCCAGCTAGGACAATCCAAAGAGCATTATGGGCTCTCTAATGATCCCCAGTCACTCAGGCCATCAGGTTTACATCTCATTCTAGTTAACAGGGTTGAAGAAACGCTATCAGCTTCAGTGGTGTTACACCAGGGATAAGTTTGCCCCCCCCCCCGTCTCCAGTAACTTTTTATTTTCACTTACCCCAGCACTGAAGAGACAGTTTCTAATGGATTCTGTCTGAAGTGTAAAAATCCCATCAATAATGGAGCAATGAACAGCCTGCCCTGTCCTCACATTTAACATACACAGGCCCAGTCATCGCATCAGTGCTTTTCTCTAAGAAAGGCCCTTCGCTTCCACACGCCCCAGCAACGTGTTTAAATAGAAGATGCACATTCTGCAAGGCCACTGGACTCTGGGCGTTGCGAGGAACGGCCGGGGTACTTTCGCCGCAGCTTCGGACGGTTTGATCAGCAGCTGCTGAAACCTGCTGTCAATCCACTGCTAAAGCCCAATTCCTGAATGAGTTGCTAGGAGCACAATCCACCATGACGCAGCCGAGAGCCGTGTTGATCTGGCCTGATTCCCAGATGCTGGAGGTGCTGCTGTATGGTGTGCCTCCCGGTGGTCAGGACAGAAATAAGAAATTGAGCAGGTGAACTCAGGGGCACTGGAACAATTGGAATCGGGGGGGTGGAGAGGGGAGTGCTGAGAGCTATTGAACCAAACGGTATATGATGGAAACCACTTCAGGCCAGGAGGTGCAGCAGCATCCCCCACACTCCTACTTCCAGCACCTATGGGTGAACTAATGTTACAGGGAGTGATTTGATCACAGCAAGCCTAGTGACGGATTCAGAAAAGCACTTTATTGAGGATCAGCTGAGTTGTCCAGAATCCCAGTCACTGCCCTGGACTCTGGTTGGTATTTTAGCTGTTTATGTAAATCAAAGAGGGATTTATAATATAAAATGATATAAAATCAATTTGAGTCATCAAATCCCTGTGCTCAAACGTAGTCGCTCACACAACATGCAGTTAAAAAGCAAAACAGATTCGCTTAATTGATTTTATTTTTACCCAGCATCTCTTGTCTGGATTATATTAGTGCCCAGGGGCTCTCTCCCTGTCCGAGAGAATGAAGAGCGACCAAACACTCAGCCACAAAATCAGTTCAGACTCCACCACGCAATATCATTTCTGACCAACTAAACAAACAAACAAACAATGGTGGAACCCCCCACAATGAATCAGTTGTGACTCCACCAAATTAAAAAACATTTCTAACACACACCCGCATAGTCATTTCTGTCACCTTCACGAATACCAGTCCCCAAAACTGTCGCACATAACCTTCCCCACCAAATCACTCCGGACACCTTCCCACGAACTTCCCCCAAACAAAAAGCACTTAACCCCCGCCCCACCCACACGTGAGCAAAGGCCTAAATTGCTGACCAGCAAAACAGCTGTGCCTTCAACACACAGCAAGCAAAATCCCAGCTGATCCTGCACAATAAAACCATTTACAACCCACAGCGTAAAACCGTTCATTACTGACCACATAAGCCCAGCTGCAATTCCACCTTGCATGCACACACATAAACCCACTTCTGGTCCACCCCCCAAACAGCAAAGGAGATCCAGTCTGAGCTAACCCCCATCGCAGCTCCCTGCCTGCCTCCTCAAGCTGCTTTCTCAACCCACTAGACCGTGGAAAGAGCTTCCTGAGAAAAGACTATTCAATCCCCTTCCTCAACCCCTGAACACCAAGGCCTGCCACTGAGCAAGGAGGACTCTCTGTGGACTATAAACCTCCTGTTGGGCAGAAGAGCCCTCCCCCATGGGCCAAAAGCATCCCCCAGAGGCCCCACTTCCTACCTGGTTCACTTGCTGCCTGGGATCTTCCAGTTCAAAGGGTTGTGCTGGCAAACTCCTCCACCTGGTGCTCTCCCATACAGCTCCAGCAAGGGGTGGGATGGCGCTCAGATGCCTAGCTGCAAATCCTGTGCCCCAGAGGGGTAGAAGAAAGCAGCCTGGAAAGCCCTGCTCCATGTTTTCAGTGGAGGGAGGAGCTCTCTCAGGGGCTTGAAATCATCTGCCCTACCCAGCATGAGCTCCACAGGGCAGCGTCTCCCTCCCAGGCCTGCACTCAGAGAGCAGGAAAACACCTGTCCTCACCATCCTCCGTGACCCAGAATGCACTGGGGAAAGACATTGAGCAGCAAGTGTGTTTCTGAAGAAGACAAACGTGGATCTGAGCCCCTTAGACCCTCATTCCTGGCTGCCCCTGGGTACTCCACACTCGGTGACAGCGGCCAAGCGTGCCAGGGCATTCTGTGGTCTTCCGTGGGCATGTCACACGCTTACAACTGGGACGCACAGACCTCGTGCATTAGCATCATTCTGGTGCAGCTGCCCTCTCTCTTTCCCCACCTTCATGCCAGCCTGAGGAAGGAAGGGTCCGCGTGACAGGCACCGGGAACAGGCAGGATCAAATTCAGCAAAGGCCAAAGGTCAGAGAAATAAGGGGAGCTGCAGCAAACCCAGCACCTCACCCATAACGGGCTCTGCTTGAGGTTGAAGGGGAAGGAGACTGAGGAGAACAGTCTCCTGTAATTCCATGCTGCAATCAGGTGGAGAGTTAACAGAGCTGGGAACTGCCCCAGAGGGACTTAGTCCAGTTGCAGCACCACTCCTCTGCATATCCTGGATGTGGGGGAGAAAGGGCAGCTGTTCTCCAGGAGCATCTATGCAGATGGAGCCTGCCTCCCCGCAGCGCTGACTGAGGCAGGGTTTGGCAAGGAAAACCAGTGCATGATCATGTCGGTCCAGACGGTATGATAATGCATATGCTTAAGGGGGCAAAACGAAGGTTACACAAGCACCCTGAATTCTGACGGTTCCTAACTTTTCAGTGCTTGGCTTTGCAACCTTAATCCCCTTTTAATTCAGTTTTTGGATGTAATTTCCTATCTTTTTAAAAAAAAACTTTGCATGGAAAAAACAAAATGTTCACCACATGGAGCCCACCCTGAGTCATTTGCAGGCTTGGGCTCTGTAGATTCACAGCATAGTCCTCTACCACTGCTTGAACCAACAGAGTAATTGGTAGCAGTAGAAAGTTATCTTCTATATTGACCTGCTACTGGAGGGGGATGGAGAAACACACGTAGCTATTTACTAGACAGGACAGGAATGCAGGCACTCCGGAATAATGGATTCCACTCCAGGTTCTGTGGGAATGTTCTCTAGTGGTAATAGATTCTTCTGCCCTGTTCCCTTATGCTTGTATCCCTCCTCCTCTCCTCTCCTCTCACTACATTTTGCTCCTGTCTGCCTCCTTCCCTATCTCCCGCCCATGTTTCCCCCTCTTCTCATATCACCCCCCATCCTCAGCTTCTGTCCCCAACCTCCTCCCTCCCCGTCCCTGTCCCTGTTCCATCTTCTGCCTCCCTCTGCTCCTGCCGTTATGTCTCCTTCCCCCACCCCTCTGCATTTGAGTCACTGTCTCCTCTTTTTCCACTACCCGCCAGGGCACCAGCACAGAGAGACAAGGTTCCCAGTAACACAGCAGCCCAGGATGAGCTATTACAAGGAGCCCTGCAGCCTGGGGTGGAGCACGTGCCGTCACTCTGGGAGGAGGGCCCATGAACAGTTCAGTCACCCCGTCAGAGTGTGCAGGGGCTGGAACGGGCCCAGGGCAGGTGGAAGGTTTGGAGATTTTAGCTGTGAAGCTTTAACAAGCCTTCATGGCCTACGTGTGAGCAGATTATGCAAAGGCTCATAACTTGGCCGAATGTGGGCGTTTTCTTATGGGAACAGTAAAAGGCACCCCCCTGATGCCCTGGTGACACACTCCTGCCCATTTTCAAGTCCCTGCTCTCAAGCGCAGCGGTGCGAGGGCTTCTCAACACGACAGTTAAGAATATTTTTTTTAACCTGGCAGAATGTATTTTTTATCCAGTCTCAATACAACTGGTGTGGTTGAAATTTTCAGAACACATCAGCCTTGAGGCAAACACCCAGCATGGAAAACTTCAG